CATGACATATCTTTCCATAAATTAATAATACAAAAAAAAATGTTAACAATTGGTTGTAAGTATAGTTTTATAAATAATGATTTGAAAATTAAAAATTTTTATATTGTATTGATTCCATATTGAACACATTTTATTGTATTTAAAAACAACAAAATGATTTAAATAAATAATAATAGGTACTCTATTCGCTATAGAATATTTTATGAAATAGGTAACTATATAATGATGTAATRTATACATATTTGTATTGTGTAGCGTAAAATTAAAAATAACATTTTTTTCCTATTCTACCCAAATTCAAACTAATGCCTTTCGTTTTGTAAGTAATTGACAGTTAATAAAAGGCTTAAATAATAAAAATATATACACGATCATATAATATATATAATATATATTATGCATAAATATATATACACATATTATCATGTAAATAATTGACAACTAGAAGGAAAAATGCACGTCCAAAAGGTCAAATGCATGCGTTTATAAAAGGTTATATATTATGATATAACTTAAGTTCACAACTTAACGTAAGTGGTTGGATGGGTCATTTTATAATGTACACAAAGTTTTATAAAAAAATGAGGATTTCATTATTGAATAATAGGATACATTTTATGTACATGTTAAAAAAAAAAAATAATTTTAAAATACCGACAACACTACTAACATGATATTATAAAAACGATGTAACACTACTACACTTAATAAGTACAAGTAGTGATGTAATTCATGTTCATTTGATGACCGTAAATACAATGGAGGAATTTAAKATCATACATTAATTTCAACGTTTTCATTTCGAAGACGCCTCAGGAGTTATTATTATAAATTATATTTGTTATAATTGCAGGTTATTATTTTCAGAAAATGTAATTTAAAATTTAAAAAAAAAAATTTAAAACTGTGTTATATTAACTGCGTATATAAGAGTTTAGATATTATATACTCATATGAGTATGAAAAACAAGCGGTAACAACGGTCGGTAGTTTGTAGACTGAAAATACAATTTGTCATATGTGACGAAACAAAAGTTATCGATTAATTTCTGTTAGAAACCGTTACGATCCGATAACACAAATGTCCATATTATTAATTAATTACCCATCACTTCCGACCGATAATCATTATTATTAATATCATTATATATTATTATTGTTGTTTGCTATACGATGATTTACGATTTAATAGTGTCTTCGGTCGACGATTATATACGTTATATTACAGAAAACCGCGAGGTTAAAATGTAAATCAAAATGTTTTATTTATTATTATTATTGTATTATTACTATAATGCGCCGTCCGGAACGACAGCCGCGGACGAGCTCATATCCATCGGTGTCGGTCGTGCCATGCTATCGTGTAGTGTTGTTCCGGTTCGGGTGACCAACAATTGTCTGACAGCCAGCAGCCGACTATGACGGTGGCCATGCCGATCAGCAGGGCAAGTATTATATACAGCTCGGCTTTACCTGAAACATAATTTTCCGAGTGTCATCATAAAAATGTAATGATATTGAGAAAATCGATTTTTTCCCCCATTATGTTAACCGTTGTACAAAAATTTTGTAATTCAGATTTCATTTGGTAGGTACGTACAGAAAAATATATATAAGCTGATTCATTCAGCATTCTTGATTTTTGACTTTCATAATGAATTTATTCAAATTTGGATTTTAGAATTTTTAAGTAGGTGTTCAAAAAACTTTATTTTTAATCATTTAGATTTATGTGTCACGTTGTCACCATGTGTCATGTGGTGATGCAGACTTTTTTCAAAAGAGAACCAACCTTTTTTACTATCAATAAATAATAAATTGTTAACATGTRATTTTTTTTCTTTAAAGCAATGATGTATTTGAATCGAAATTTAAACGAATAATTTTTACTCACTATTAAGTGAAAAATAGGGTTTATAATTAGTTTGCTCGATGCAACACCCTAACATAGGTAGTAAATTTGAATTTAAACATATTCAGTAAACTTACTGTTGAGACGTCAACCACAGTAAATAAACGATAAATAATCGTGTTATGTTGCATCTATGTTAAAACTTGCTAAAACAAATATCCGGTGACACTGGCATACAAAAAATAATCTAAATTGATATGTCACAATATGTTTAAAACACAAACCAATACCTACATAAATCAGATAATCAGAATATACTAAATTCGGTAATCAATACTGAAAACTATGAAATGTATTTATACTGGTATTTTAATTTGTTTTTTTTTTACCTTTTCCAATCTATTTATAGATACTTATCATATTCCTTATTTTAGATTAATAAACCGCGATATCATAACAAATAAMCGAATCAAAATCCAAAACCCAACATGCAATCTAATGAAATAATTTGGCTCCCTAGCACTGATTAATCTGATTATAAATATACAAATATTATTATGTTTATTATTGTCGTTTTTTCATTTCCTCTATTTTTTCCCAACAGTTTTGTTTATTTATTTTTTTCTTAACAAATTTCGTAGTAAAACGTTTTCGTTGTGGACGAAAAAAACACAATGCTCAATTTAATATTTAAAACATGAGGGTAGAGCGAACGAGTCTTGCATTAGATACACGAATCATACGGATACACATAAAACATACGACATATACATATTCGCAATGGAAAACAACACGTTATTTTCACCACATTCGCGCGCAAACGCTTTTACTACCTACGCGTGTTCATAATTGTATGTATGTATGGTGTGGCGTTTCAGAGTATATATCGAGAAACTCGCTCGGAACATGGTCACCGGGGAATACCATCATGTGTTTACTCTTTTTTTTTATATATTACTATACAAACTTAATCTCGAGAGAAATTGACAACGCGCGTTTAAAAAGACAGAATCTTTCCGAGGAAATACGTCTAGGGTATATGGCGAAAGGGATTTTATAGGTCTCGTGGCCAAAACTATATAGCTTACACAAGACATGTGCTATATACATAAGTGTATATACTTATGGTAACAATAAACCTGCAGCGCGTGTTTTATATCACGACGAAACAACTAAAAACATATTGTTATTATAATAATTCATATAATATTATATAGGTACTTTATATATATATATACTATTCATTACGTCATTTGTATAGACACGTATACACCTAATTTATTCTCAAGCAATGCGGTTTTAAAATATCAACGATCTTTAGAAAATGTCTTCTCGGACCTTTTTTATTTTTAGTTCTATAAAAACGAGTCATGATTATGCTCAAAAAAATATTACAATTTTTATTATACTGCTGTTATATAATATGAATAATTCATTTTTCATGGATTAGAAATTGAATTATGATGCATACATATATAATATATTTTTAATAAACGTTTACGACGTCGGTTTTGTTACTATACCGTTCGGCGTATTAAAATGATTATATTAAATTTCGATAAACTCTCAATTGAAGTCACCAATATAAATGATCATAATGACATATTAATTTTAGAAATTAGTAGGTAGGTATCTCTAATATATCAACTGATTTTGATGGCATGGATCATCTATAAACTGACTAACTGATAGGAATATTAAGATGATCAAATAATGTAATTATTGCRATATTGCTTAGGTATAGGAAAAATATACCCGAGACTTRTGTGGCGTAGTGGTTTGCAATAGTCGTGGTCAAGCATTGTTTGGCGCCACTAGCTCCCCGATGGATGACCACCCTGGTTTTAGCGACGAATCCTCGATCCATTTTTACAAAAATAACAAGCCATAATCCTCTACATTAAAAATAACCGTAACCACTAACAAATAAGTCATAACAGTCATAGTTGCCGATGCATCAAAAACTAATAACAATAATAAAAAAAGATTTCTTATAATAGCTCATATATAMTACTAATAAAACTTTTTTATGTAGATTTAGATRGTGAGAGGAGCAATGAAAATAAGAAAAACAAATATTAAATGTTTTGTTGATTATTCATTATTATCATAACTATCTTATATAGATATAGTTACTCATTTATTTACGTGTAGTAATACATTTTACCTTGARTTGGTTATATTTCAGGTGTAAAAGGGAAGGTCACTAACAAATTTCTATGGGCTCTGTTTTGAAACTTACCAAACTTCACGTCCAAACTTCTCRARGTATAAAACACTTTTATTGTCTTTTTTTCACACACTAAAAATTAATAACAAATAGACCTTTTACTTACATCAATAATCTTTATTATTATACCATATTACAATAAATTATTAAAAAAACTATTACAGAGGAAATTATTAGGTATGTTTTAATAAGAATATTATATATATTATGTTTAAATGATTATGCGTCATACAAGGATGTTAYAATATGTATATAAGATGTAACCAACAATATGGACCGTGGTATAGATTTCAGTGTCTGGTTGTGATACATATAGCACTTTTTGAGATTTATATTTTACTGACAGGTACTTAGGGGGGTTTTCACTATACTATCCGCAGCACTGAAAAATGTCACTCCAACATTTCATCCATCTTTAAGAACGAAACTACCGGCGTAGGTGGGACGAAATATATTTTTATTCATAATTATACACATCGTCCTAGGATCACAGCTATAWTAGGTACATATCTAAAATTAACTTTAATCGACTAAAAACTTTTAAAATGCAAGATAGTATGACGATCGAATCGATCGTATAATAAAATGATTCAAATAATGTATCTACAACTATGATAATTTATACGCAATTAATTATTATTATACCTTAATGTTTTAGGACAGTAAAAGTGTTTCGATTTTCGACTTCAGTACTTCGTTCGATCAGAAAGTAAATCTAGTTGGTACTTTGGGGGGTCAAAAGTAAAAAATTCTCAATATTTTT